AAGGACACTGCGGCCTTCGCCCTGTCCCCTGGCGGCTGCTGCTGCAGCTCCTCCGTGAGCCAGGAGCTCCGAGGGAGGGTCGGCAGAGGAAGCGGCGCGGGTGCGTGGCCTCCCCCCAGGGCTGGGGATTTACACCTAGTTTGGTCAAGGAGAGGAGGAAGGAGGGGCCGCTCGGTCGTCTGTTGTTGCTGTTTCGCTCTAGCGCGGAACGTGGCCTGTCGTGGGTCGGCCAGGTCTGTTTCCGAAACCCGCCCGCGAAGGAGGCACCTTGCAGCCCTAGCCTCGTGACCTTATTGCTGTCGGGTTGCAGCGTCCTGGAGACAACTCTGGGATTGAGGCTCTAGCTTGCTTGGTGAAAGCTTAATGAGCATTTCCTTGAGCCAAGAGAAGGGTGACCGCGGTGTTTCATTTACTGTAGTTGTGTTTTGCATATCGGAAAAATTCGGTAATAATCGTATCAAACTAACTGAAAGAACACCACCACATATACTGCACTCAGCAGGATTTTAGAGCTTGGATGGTCTTTTGAGATCCAAGTACGTTCATCTCTTTTAGGCAAGGAAATTGAATCTCAGAGATGTTGAAACACTTGCTCGGGTTAACTTAAAAATGCAGATTCCAGAAATGACGACCATAACAACAGCGCATTTCCTGGAAATAAAGAAGCCTTTTTTTCCCCTAGCGGTACAGTTGAGGTTGAGTCGGTTCTCAGCAGCAGAGGAGGAGAGAGTTCGTGGTAGTATAGAACGAGGTCAGGGCTTTAGAGTTCGACCTGAGTTCGGATGGTGGCTTCACCGCCTTTTCTTGCTTTGTAACTTTGGGCTGTTATTTTTCTCACTTAGTTCCTTCAGTTGTAAAATGGGAATGTTCCAATTTGCAGAGTTTAGTCTTTCAGTAAACATTTGAGGTCCTACTGTGGGTCATGTGCCGCTGGGCTCCAGGTAACAATGTGGGTAATAATGGTAGGTAGCATTTGGTGACTGCTTTCTATGTGCCAAGCACTGTGTTAAATATTTACTTCTAAATCTCATGAAGTTGGTACTGTTATTTCCCCATATTACAGATAAGAAACAGATTTAGACAATCCCTGTTCTTGCCGAGTTGATAGTCTCATGTAAGAGGAACTTCACATTAAGGTAAATGTCATTTAATGTGAAAGTACAGTGTTACAGAGATGAGTAAGGTCATGCAGTTTGCTTTGAAGGTAGTATAAGATTTTTCCTGGAGGCAATACTAATAGATTGGGGTTGGAGTCAAATAGATTGGGGAGAGGGCAGTCTAGGTGGAAAGGACAACATGAGAAAAGACTAGTTTTTGTTTTTTTCTCTTTAAGCTACCATTCTGAAGTTGCTCAAGTTTACTGAGGGAAATTGCTATGTGTGGTGAAGATTTAATGAGTGCTATAATAATAGAAGGGTATGCCACCCTGAGCAGAGACTAGGGAAGTGATTTCACTTTGCTTAGGGAAAAGAGAGAGTGGTTCAGGGACTTTGGAGGGGTAAGAGGAGGAAGTGAACCTTAGTCATGGTAGATGAGAGGGAGGTATAGTGTGACATAGCGTTGGAGGTATAGGTAGCCGTATGTACAGGACAGTGAAGTGTGAGAGCACAGCAGGATGGACAAGGAATAATGAGTTGTGAAAGATGAGGCTGGAGAAGGTCATAAAGACCTTGGTATGTCATACCACAAGAGTTTAGATTTTATTCTGTAGGTAGTGAACAATTTTAAGTAGATGAGTAGCAAAATCAGATTTATTCCCAGCACTACCACCTCACCCTCCCCCCATTGTAATTTTAGGACAGAATCTCTGGAGATGTGGAGAAGGATGAGATTGGAAGTCAGAAGAAGAAGGTTATTGTAGTAATCGAGGAGAGAAATGAAAGACTTTGAACTGGGGATAGTCACAGAAAAAACGGAGTAGCAGGAAAAACAATTTAAAAGTTGTTGAGGTAGGATGGGTAGGACTTGGTGACTGACTAAATTGAGAGAGTAAGAGAGAGAGAAAAGAGGACTCTGGGATGTTTCTCATGATCATGGTTTAGGCCACTGTCTGTAATGACTATCTAATGTTGAATTACAATGAGGTTGAAAGAAATATTTGTTACATCCTTTGAGCAAGGTGAGGCATAATTTTTTAAAAAATTGTCATGGATAGCAAATTGATATAAAGATGAGAAACAAAATGAAGGCATTAAAAATGACATTTCTCTGCATAAAGGAGTGTTAATAGATTTCTTTGGGGATCAGTACAGTAGGCAGCTTTATTTGATAATTTCAGAGGTGAAAGGGTGCAGAACCCACCTATTTGTAGAAGTACGTGACAAATCTGTGAAGAAAAGCAACTCTTTGGGATTAAACTGCAGACAGTTACATAGCTATGATGGTTACTGGAAAAAGTATAATTTTATCAAGGTAGTAAAAGTATGCATCTTGGGGGAAAATCTGGAAATTTTCCTTATAAGTTAAGGTTCTGAGCCATGATTTGCAACCCAGAAAAGTGATCTTGTCGTTACTAATACCATGTCTAATATATGTTTAATAGAAAGACATATTAGAATATTTACAAATAGTACTATTGAAAATATAGCAGGATATAATTTTATCCTTGTCTTAACCAATTTATAATGAAAACGGAATACTGCACACATTTTTAATCCTCTTCACATCAAGAATAGCATAACATAGGTAGAAAACGTCCAGGAAATAGTAACTAAAATCTGGTGAGTGTTTCAGCTTCTGTATGAGGTTAGACTTAAGAAACTTTGGTGGGGGCCGGCCCGGTGGCGCAGCGGTTAAGTGCGCACGTTCCACTTCAGGGCCGGGGTTTGCCGGTTTGGATCCCGGATGCAGACATGGCACCACTTGGCAAGCCATGCTGTGGTAGGCATCCCACGTATAAAGTAGAGGAAGATGGGCACGGATCTTAGCTCAGGGCCAGCTTCCTCAACAAAAAGAGGAGGATTGGCAGCACATGTTAGCTCAGGGCTAATCTTCCTCAAAAAAAAAAAAAAAAAAACTTTGGCTACCTGAGAAGGGGAAGGTTCAGAAAGGAGAAGTGAAGAATAAATCACTAAGAGGAGAGAATGGATAAAAAGACTTTGTTAACTCAGTTACAAAACAGTGCTAGTTGACGTTTAAAGGAAATACTCTTGAATCAAAAGAATGCAGTTTTGTTCCTAAGGGGATATTATGGTAGTTCCATGAAAAAATAATTATACAGTTTGAAAAATACAAATAATGTCATGTTGTGTTCGGATGGTTACATTTATGGTGATATGTGGTACATGTTGTTAATATTTTGAGGTATGGAGAAGGAAGTTCCTTATTATCAGTGACTAAATATTCCTTAATATCCTTCAGTATTTCCAAAGATCCTGGGTTGGAAAAGATCATTTAGCATTTCTTGTTCTTGGAATCATTAGCATGTTGAAAATCATAAAATCCGTGAACTGTGAGCCAGGATACAGTCACTGTATACCCTACAGCAATAATCCCCCAACTTGATCAAAAGAATCACCTAGGATGCTTTAAAAATATAGATACTTGGGCTCCTTCTGGTCATAGGTTTATTAAATTTTAAACAAATGTATGTTTACCTGAGTATTAATCTTTAAGACTAGAAAATGAAGCAATTTAAGTTTATACAGCATTTGTTTGTGTTTATTTGATTTTCACGTTAAACTAAAAAGTTCGTGCTTAAGTTTTACCAGTTAATTCTTTAGGCTAAAAGCTCTTAAAATCATTTAAACTTTTGAAAATGAATGTTTGCTGTTAGAATCAACTCTTAATTATTTAGGGTCTCATTTGTTTTTGAGATTATTGAGGTCTGTTGTTTGACCTTTTTTTCCTTCAGTAGCATTTTAGGGGCACAAGAAGAAATTATAATGAGAAGTGAGTGTTACTGTTTAATTAAAGCTCCAAAAATAATAATAATAGTGGCTAACACATGAGTATTTATAATGATACCATGCTAAACACTTTATCTCATTTAATCTTCTTTAACAGTTTAAGATACTGCTGTTATTTTGTAGATGAGCAAACCTAGGTACAGAGAGGCAGAGCAGCTTGCCCAAGATTACATTAATTGGTGAAGATGAGACTGAACCTCGTGACTAAAATAGTGTTTGGACATTTCATTTCTATGGAGTATTCCTGTCCTTAGGACATTTGAGTGTTGTTTGTATTCCTATTCGATTTTAGATGTCTAAAGAATGCTTTGTTTAATTTATGGTCAAGATAGCTGAAAGTAATCAATATTGTTGCCATTAATATGGTCATCTTAATCTGTAATGCTCCTTTAATACCTAGGCTGTTCATGTAGCTTTTCTATAATATAAATTTGGCCAAATTTTAGTTGTTAATTCTCTCATAGTGCTAGAAAAATCGCTTCTGTTTCTTTAATACGAATTAACATTTTTAGTTTTTAACGATGGAACTTGATATGGAGGACATTTGTAAAAGCCCTCCTATGTATATCTGAAAATATACAAAACAATTTTAGTGGTTAAGGCTTGTACTCAAGTCAGGAAAACTTATGTTTGGGTTTTCATTTATTTAACTGTGTGATCTAGGAAAAGTTTTTTTCCTCCCTTTGAGCCTTAGTTTCCACATTTGCAAAATGGGATGATAATAATACTTATACGGTATGGTTGCTGTGAGGAGTAAATGAGTTACAGTATTTTTAAAGTTTGTAGCGCAGTATCTAAAGCATTGTATTTATTATCAGTATCCTTGAAATAGATTTCAGTTACCATTAACCCATCATCTACTTTATTAAACTAAAATGCATTGAACAACTGATTTCTCAAGGATTTTTTTTTTTTAATAATTTCATTCTCTCTTTTTTTTTTTTTTTTTTAAAGATTTTATTTTTTCCTTTTTCTCCCCAAAGCCCCCCGGTACATAGTTGTGTATTCTTCGTTCTGGGTTCTTCTAGTTGTGGCATGTGGGACGCTGCCTCAGCGTGGTCTGATGAGCAGTGCCATGTCCGTGCCCAGGATTCGAACTAACGAAACACTGGGCCGCCTGCAGCGGAGCGCGCGAACTTAACCACTCGGCCACGGGGCCAGCCCCTCAAGGATTTTTTAAAATGTAAAAATACCTACCCTGAGTGTATCATGGACAAAGACTTTTGGGGAAATACAGTACAGTACAGATTAAATAAGCCAGTAGGTATTGGTAAATAATGGGAAGAAACTACAGAGGGAGCCAGCATCACTTTTCTTTTCCAGGAGGTGTTTCACATGTGAGTTGTGACCCCCATGCAGGTGCACACAGTATATAGTGGATTTAATCTGTAAATGTTCAGAGTAGTCTAAAAGGTATATTCCCTGCCTCAGTTGGTTGCTAATAAAGGAAAAGACTGTTTTCCATTTGCCTGACCTTAGTCCTCTCCTGACTAATTAGGGTAGTGATTCTGTCAGTTTCGTTTTACAGCTTCCTTGTCCTTTAAGTTGCCCTCGCTAGATGTGGCCTTTTATACTACACGTCTGATAGAATTGAAAGGTGAGCAGAGTTGGATACTGATGATGTTTGAGCAACAGAAGAAACTAAGGAAGGTCACTGGACCAGAGCATAGGAACACATCCAGGTTACACGATGTCTGACCCAGGGGATCTTCCTAAAGGAAAGCCCCAGAAGTATCCACAAAGGAAAAGAACCATGTTCACTCAGAAACAACTGGCGGATTTGCGGCTCCTGTTCAATGAGAACCCATACCCGACCTCCAGCCTTCAGAGAGAAATGGCCTCAAAAATGGAGATACATCCAACAGTCGTGAAGGTTTGGTTCAAGAACCACAGAGCAAAACTCAAGAGAGCCAAATACAAGCCTATTCAGCAAAAACAACAAGAGGCTCAACAGCAGCAATTAGCTGAGGCAGGAGGCAAGGCCAGCTCTTCCAAGACAGGCGCGGATACACCTCCCAGATCCCCTCGCAGGGCCCTCCCCGCATCCCTGGTTTATACAGAGCATCCAGTGCCTGCCTTCCAGCTCCGCCTGTGCCCCAATTTTAATGCTCACACAGACCACTTTGTTGGCCACAAAATAGTTCATTTCGGCTGCTGCCGAGACCCTAACATATACTGCCTCTCTCCCACTCTGGAATCCCAAGTTCTTTCCACGAGCATCAGCGCTAATTCCTTCTGCTCTTCATCACCACCAAGATCTTGTCAGTGAGAGGACCCAGACACAAAAAGTCACGTGGTGGAATGATTTGTAATGATTCCCACACACGAGAATGCTTTTCAGCCATAAAAAGGAAGGAACACAAGATATACACAACATGGATGCGTTTCAACATTGTGTTGAATGAAAGAAAAAAAGACACGAAAGACAACATACTATATAATTCCATTTATATGCATTCCTGGAGCAGGAAATGCCACAGCGCCAAAAAACACATTAGCGGCTGCCCATGTGGTAGATCTAAGAGACTAGTATGGGCAGTATCTTTTTTCTTTTTCCTGCTTCTTTGTTATGATTTTATTTTTTTTCTCCAGTATCATTCAGGTTTAGTCACTGTCAGTAAGTGGAGCTTTGGCTTATTTTTTTCTACTTTCTATTTTTTAGTCACCTTCCCAGCCATCTCTTTTTTTTTTTTTTTTTTTTTTTTTAAAACATTTTATTTTTTCCTTTTTCTCCCCAAAGCCCCCCGGTACATAGTTGTGTATTCTTCGTTGTGGGTTCTTCTAGTTGTGGCATGTGGGACGCTGCCTCAGTGTGGTCTGACGAGCAGTGCCATGTCCGCGCCCAGGATTCGAACTAACGAAACACTGGGCCGCCTGCTACGGAGTGCGCGAACTTAACCACTCGGCCACAGGGCCAGCCCCCCAGCCATCTCTTTATAACTTTGACCACTCAAATATTTCCAGCTCCCAAATTTTTCTTTTGTTAATCTTTTTTTTTTTTTTTTTTTTAAGATTGGTACCCGAGCTAACATCTGTTGCCAATCTTCCTTTTCCTTTTTTTCTTTTCTTCTTCTTCTCCCCAAAGCGCTCCCCAGGACACAGCTGTACACTCCAGGTGCAGGTCCTTCTGGTTGTGCTATATGGGACACCACCCCAGCCTGGCCCAATGAGTGGTGCCACGTCTGCACCCAGGATCTGAACTGGCAAACCCCAGGCCACCGAAGCAGAGGGCACGAACTCAACCACTTGGCCACGGAGCTGGTCCCTCAACTCTCCTTAAGACAATGAAACATGCTCTCCTAAGCCATCTGTAACCCCCCAGAAGGAACCGCTATTTTGACTTTTGCCTATTCATAAATTTCACATAAGTTGAATCATTCCAAAAAAAAAAAAAAAGGAAACTAAGGAAAAAAACCCTCTTCTTGGGGAGTGGGTGGAAGAATGTGAAATTTTAGTTTTTGTCATTTTGAACTTTTGGTTATCAGTATTACAAATGATGTTAAAAGAGAAGGGCTAGTAGAAAGAGCAGAGGACTTAGATTCAAAAGGCATGGGCTCAGAATCCATCTCTGTCACTAATTGTGTGGTGGAGGGCAAGTTACTGTCTCTGAGCCTAAATTTCTTTAAAAGTAAAATGGAAATAATAAGTTCTAACCACAGATATTTGAGAAGTCAATGAAAAAAGGTATGTTGAAGTACTTAACACAAAGCTACTCAAGGTTACTTGAATCCAAAGAAATCACTGCCGCTATTTGCCTGCTGTAAATCTTCTCTGCTCCTTCTGAAACACCCTGAAAAAAGAATAAACTAGAATTGAAATGCACTATTAATTCTGCATTATATATCAGATTACGTTCTTGTTTATTAAAAAAAACATCGTTTGAATTTTCAATTGGAGTTCACTGAATTCAGTTGGAACTCACTGAAGTATAGACATTTCAGAGTCTTATGAGAAACTAGACTCTAGTCTAAGGGGAGAACACTGAGCTTACTCTTCAAATCAGTCAAGCCTAGCTAAGTTGTTTTTTTCCAGTTCTAAAACTGGTCCTGGGGTGCCTCTTTATTCCAAAGTGAAACTGAATTCAGATGGCCCTTTAAGTAATGTAAAGATGTTAATCAAACTTTTAATATCTTATTTATTCCTTTGTTGAAAGTGACTGACATAGATATTGTAACAGATGTAAAATAGGTCAAGTTATTAAAGATATCAAAAAACAGGGCAGCTTTGGGGCCAGCCCGGAGGCGTATTGTTAAGTTTGTGTGCTCCGCTTCAGCAGCCTGGAGTTCATGGGTTCCGATCCTGGGTGCAGAGCTACACACCGTTCATCAAGCCACGCTGTGGCGGTGTCCCACATACAAAATAGAGAAAGATTGGTGCAGATGTTAGCTCAGGGCCAAACTTCCTCACCAAAAAGCAAGACAGAACGAAACAGGCCAGCTTTGAAAATGGCCATGTGCTAACTTGCTATGAATAATAGTTTATGCTGGTTGAAAAAAAAGAAGGCTAATATTTATCAATGTACTGTCACTGTTCTGCTTGCTTCTTTTGTTTCATACACAAAATCTGAGCCCTTTTTCTCCTATTTTGAAGAAGTCAACTTCAGACATTTAAATTAAGTTGCTCGAATGCTATGCTAACATATATATATTTAGGTTTTCTGCGGGAATAGAAAAGTGGCATTTACTATTTAAAAAAAAAAAACAGTAAATAGCTTGTTTTAAATAGAGTACATTCATGCATCCTTTTCTCTCTAAACTGGAACATCATGAGCCAAGGGAGGCAGGCCTTTTCATTTCTAATCTGTCTCCCTCTGTATGTATACCTGATTTTCTTTTTCTTTCCTTTTTTTTTTTTTTGGTGAGGAAGATTGGCCTTGAGCTAACATCTGTTGCTTATCCTGCACTTTATTTTTTTTCCACTTTTTGTGTGTGTGTGTGAGAACTCACATTTCTTTTTTTTTTATTGAGTTGATAATAGTTTACATCGTTGTGAAGTTTCACTTGTACATTATTTCTTGTCCGTTACCAAGTAAGTGCTCCCCTTCAACCCCTGTGCCTACCCCTGACCCACTTCCCCTGGTAACCACTGAACTGTTCTCTTTGTCCGTGTGTTTGTTTATCTTCTACATATGAGTAAAGTCATTTGGTGTTTGTCTTTCTCAGTCTGGCTTATTTTGCTTAACATAATACTCTCCAGGTCCATCCATGTTGTAGCAAATGGGATGATTTTGTGTTTTTTATGTTTTTTTATGGTGGAGTAGTATTCCATTGTGTGTGTATGTATATATATATATATATATATACACCACCTCTTTTTTATCCAGTCATCGGTCCATGGGCACTTGGATTGCTTCCATGTCTGAGCTATTGTGAATACTGCTGCCATGAACACAGGGGTACACAAGTCACTTTGGATTGTTGATTTCAGGTTGTTTGGGTAGATACCCAGTAGTGGAATAGCTGGGTCGTATGGTAGTTCTATTTTTAGTTTTTTGGAGGAATCTCCATACTGTTTTCCATAGTGGCTGCACCAGTTTGCATTCCTACCAACAGTGTATGAAGGTTCCCTTCTCTTCACAACCTCTCCAACATTTGTTATTTTTAGTCTTAGTGATTATAGCCATTTTAACAGGCATAAGGTGGTATCTTAGTGTAGTTCTGATTTGCATTTCCCTGATGATTAGTGATGTTGAACATCTTTTCATGTGTCCTTTGGTCATCTGTATATCTTCTTTGGAGAAATCTCTGTTCATATCCTCTGCCTATTTTTTGATTGAATTGTTTGTTTTTTTGTTGTTGAGTTGTGTGAGTTCTTTATATATTTTGGAGATTAACCCCTTGTTGTTTACATGATTTGCAAATATTTCCTCCCAGTTGGTGGGTTGTCTTTTTGTTTTGTTCCTGGTCTCCTTTGCCTTGCAGAAGCTCTTTGGTCTGATGAAGTCCACTTGTTAATTTTTTCTTTTGTTTCTCTTGTCTGAGTAGATGTAGTATTCAAAAAGATCCCAGAAAGACGGTAGTTTTAAGATTAGTTTGGTGATGTTAGACAGGATGATTTGGATTGGGGAGGGGTCAGCTAGAAAACTGTTAGAGTAGTGCATAGACCTGAAATAATGTCTGAAATAGAATGGTGATAGTAATAGAGGAAAAGGACTAAAGACTTTGTTTTTAAAAATTGAAATGTGATACATATACATTGCAAAAACTTCAAACAGTATGCAAGGATATATGTTATAGTAAATATAAAATATGATAAATATTGTGTATATTAAAGAATAGGGGTACAGTAGTCCCTTTTATCCTTGGGGGATATGTTCCAAGACTCCCAGTGGATGCTGGAAACTTCTGATAGTACCAAACTCTATATTTAGTGTTTTTTCCTGTACATACACATCTTTGATAAAGTTTAATTTATAAATTAGGCACAGTAAGAGATTAATCACAATAACTTCTCTTTGGCATATCTGAATTGCTAGCATCACTACCCTTGAGCTTTGGGGCCATTATTAAGTAAAATAAGGGGTACTTGAACACAAGCACTGCGATACTGCAATGGTGGAGATGACTATTAAATGACTAATGGGCGAGTAGTGTGCATATACAGTGGGGATATGCTGGACAAAGGGATGATTCAAATCCAGGCAGAACAGTGAGGGGCGGCATGGGATTTTATCACGCTACTCAGAATGGTGCACAATTTAAAACTTAAGAGTTGTTTATTTCTGGAATTTTCCATTTACTATTTCGGACCACAGTTGACCACAGGCAACTGAAACCACAGATGGGGGGACTACTCTGCAAGGATATAAATTATGGTACATAAATATGGTGCATATATTATATTAAAGAGTAAATTTTTTTCCTCACTCCAGATCCTTGGTCACCCTCTGTCTCTGTCAGAGACAGCCACTGTTACTGGTTTCTTTTATATCATCTTTGTATTCATCTCATTTATTCCTTTATTTCTTGTATAATATTCACTATATTATAATACTTTCTATATTTTGAAAAATCGGTAGGACATGGAGACTAGTGTGTTTGTACATGTTGACCTTTTGTCAAGAGCTGTGAAGGCGCTGAGATTTTACCCTACTTAGAAGCTGACAAGTTAACCTCCCTCGGCTTCATGGATGTTGGCTGAGACTCCTGGGTCAGAGACAGAGGACTTTATCACTCGGGGCCCATCAGGCAGCGTAAGCTTCCTGTTCATGTTAGTTCCTCTTGACCCTCAAATTTCGTGGGAGTGACCTGGAGCAGCTCCAGTGAATGCTGTGCATCATAGCTGAGGAATCCAACCCCAGCTTCAAGAAAACTTACCCAGCCTTTGCCCCAGGGGGAGACATTCACTACAAAAATCCTTGAAAAGATAATCTGGAACAAAAGCTGTTAGTGCCTAGTGCCTCTACTCCTAAGATGTGTAGAAACCTGAGACCCATAGAGGATCGTCTACCCGCACTACTTCTTCCTTCCCCACTGCAAGTGAAAGATAAATCTGTATGTTCATTTCAGTAGACAGGAAGGAGATGGTATTTTTCAACCATCTAAAATATACTTTGACCAGAAAAATTGACAGTCTTATAATAATAAGATAATAAAAATTGACAGTCTTAGAAATAATAAATAAAAAATAATTATGTGCAAATGCAAGAAACTCAGTAATATGTTATTTTGTGACAGTGACTCTTTGTTGAATCAACTTAC